ACAGGCGCCATGTTCTTTTAACTCGTACAATTAATAGTCTAAAAAATGTTGGCACGCGCTAACAATATATATCGCCTCGAGGAATCATTGTCAAACGCGAGATTAAATTTAGAACGTGATTCTATTATACGCCATTTTAGAATCTAATTCATTTAAACGAGAATCTAATTTAAATTAATTAGATATTTTTTTTTTTTATTTTTTTATTTTTTTTATTTTTTTTTTTTAATATTTATTTTATGATATTTAATAGGACATAAGGATTATAATAATCCGATTTTATTCGTGTTTGTCGAAATTATTAAAAAAAAAAAAAAATAAGAAAAAAAGCTTATTATGTTTGAACATTATTATTAATATATAAAATAACAATGGCAAAAAGCACACACGCACACTCCTCGAGAGTACAGAAATAGTAAGTAAGAAGAACAATACCAAGGTGTAACTTAGCACGAGTAAGCTACACGGTGAAAGTATAAAAGCTCGAGGCAAGGCAAAGCTCAACGCAAAAGCCAGCCGGTTGTAATATAGTGGTAGTGGTAGAGAGAGTATGCGTTGAACACCCCAAAAATAGAACGGGAAAGACGTCGGACTCGAAAGTTCACATTTCATCGTTCTTCTCTCTTTTTTCTTCTTCCTTCTCTTGTTTTTCTTTTCTTTTCTTTTCTTGTTTTTATGTTCCTGTTTTTCTTCTTGCATTTTTTTTTTTAAGCAGATACTAATGAGAGAACAGTTTAATCGATTAATATTGTTTATAATCTTCCAACAATTCAATTTTGTTTTACCTTTTATTCCTTCGATACTCATTCTTTTGTTTCGTTCTATCAAAGATATAAATTTATTCACCATTATCGTGCAATTAAATTACCCGCTTAAAAGCCACGGCAAAATTTTATGACAGCCATTATGGCCGCCTTTGTAACCAAATAATATATAATGACTTTTATAACGAGTATGATAGCACCCGATATAATAAAATTTTTTCAAACAAATTAGACAATGAAAAAAAATAGGGAAAATAATATATAAGAAATTATTGCGTCTTATTGGTTAAAAAAACCAACCTTCTTATCCATTAAAAAAAAAAAAAAAACATTTAATGACTCGAATGCGATTATTATTTAACGCTATAGACGAATTGACAAGAAATTTGAATAATTTTCTATAAATCCGACGTTGCCTATCTGCATATTTTTTTAAAACTTCTTTTTCTTTTTTTCTTTAGAGCATTCAACGTAATCATCATTACAGTCGTACATATATATTATATATCTCAAATCGATGATAAGCATGATTGTATACATCATATATATTTACAAACAAATAAAAAAAATAACAAAAAAGAAAAACACATAGCTTTTCTACCGTTCTCTTCGTTTACGCGTTGCAATATTATCGTCGGACACGCTCCGACGAACCGGATAAATGTCCTTTCGCAATTTCGATCTGTAAAACATTGAAATAACAAAAAAAAAAAAAAAAAATAGACGTTAATAAAAATTGTCGACTATTTTCGACAGTTATAAAATCTATATGAGTGAATGGAAGAAAAATAATAATAATAATAATAATAAAAAAAATAGAAATACTATTGACATGAAATCACTTTCTAACGTTAACAATTTGTTCTTGAAATCTTCTTAGTTTCCAAAAGTTTAAATCAATTGTAATAACACCCAAGTTACGAAACAATACATCTTTTAGCTGAACTTCGTAACAAAAAGGTGATAGGTTAACCGGAAGTTTATTTTTCTACTTGTTACGGACAATGGTCTCTCTCTTTCTCTCTCTCTCTCTCTCTCTCCCTCTCTATCTCTCTATCTCTATCACTATCTCTATCTCTATCTCTATCTCTATCTCTCTCTATATATCTCTCTCTATCAATCAATCTATCTTTTTTTAGCACACACGAATGATTCCCTGGCCACATTCCAACTTTCAATAGAGTTCCTTTTTCCTTTTGGTGACGAGCCAAAGTCTTCACCGACGAACAAGCGTGTTAGAAAAGATATATCCCGAATCGCCTTGGGCATTGATCTGCTTGCAATCGATTTTCTATTCCCTTGAAAGCTAATGCAATTTCTATCGGTTTATCATTGGCGACGTTTAAACACGAATAAACACAAATTATTTTAATCAAATTTATTATTTTAATCTTCTTAGGATTATCATAATGAGTTATGAAACCTCGGTGATATAGATAAATACGATTTTTCGATTAAAAATATTTAATCATTCTTATTGATAATTACAATTAAAAAAATGTTTATACAATATGAATATATCTAAAAAAAGAACAATCAAATTGTTTTAGGGCGGTGAAGATGGAGAGCATGCAGCTAGCAGTTCAGCGGAAGACAAATCTGCCGTAAGCAGTCCTTCGGAGAACGAAACTAGCAGTACACCATTGACATCCGCAGTAGAGGCTACAGAAGAATCAGGAGCAGCATCAGCAACGACAACGACGACAACGACGACGACAACGGCGTCGACAGCGGCGGCAGCGACGACACCAGAAACAGCAGCACCAACAACAGCAACGACGACACCACCAGCAACCAGCCCGGTAGCCGAGGAAAAGAAAGAGGAACCTACTCCCTCTGCCCCTACTCCCGTCCCTCTAGAGGATAAGAAAGAGGAGGTCGAAAAAGTCGAGGCAGAGAAAAAAGTAGTCGAGGTCAGTCCAGACGGTGGTCAGTCCTTAGCGGACTCAATAAAAGTCTCCGTCTTCCGAGTCCAGCCAGTCGATACGCCGTCTATCATTGAGAGGAAAACCAGTGAGGATCTCCCATCCCAACTCCCATCGAGCCCTCCACCAACTCCGATCGAACCGTCGCCCTTACAACAAGCTCAGCAGGCAGCGGCGACGGCTGTCACTGTTACGGCTTTAGCTAAGGCTTTAGAATTGCCTGTTGAACCTGTTGTAGATAAGGACGTTACGACTGAAGTTAATTCCACATTACCAACAATTTTACACCAAGACCCTCTAGAAGACGTTCCTGAATTGTCATTGTCCGCTCGCGTTTCTAACAATGATCCACTCGAACAATCATCTCCAATTCTCTCGAACCTTGAATCAACAACCATTGAAAAGATAATAATTCCTGTTGACGTAGATTCCGCTCTATTGCTTACAAAAGACGAACCTGTAGGTATCGTAAACAAGACTGATGAGACTGTTCCTATACTGACGGAACCCGATAAGACTAATTTTCACTCCAAACTCGAAACTGTTAAGACTGATTCAAAAATGTTGGAAAATGAAGCGACTAATGTCGAAGATATTTCTAAATGCACTTCCGATAATATTATTGAGGACATCAAAACGACTGAGAAATTAGAGACTAACGTAACAAAGGTAGAAACGACACAGGAAAATGTTGAAATTGTTAGCAAACCTGAAAAAGTACCAGATGAACAAGCGCCGGATGAACAAGCCAATAAATTCATCGAAGATGCCAAGGAGGTTATTATCGAGACACCATCGTGCAAGGAGGATATCATCAAGGAGGACAACAAGATAATCATTTTGGAAGATGTCGAGGATGATTCAAATCCGTCCAATGTGATTTCAAATCCTGAAGGAACATGTAACGAACACATTATTGTCGAAGCCAAACCAGCAGTAGTCATACCTTGTGAAGAAGTAGAAGAAGAAGTCGCTGAGATAATCGAAGAAATGGTAGCTGAGGTAAAAACTACAGACTCCGTTGAAGTAATCGAACCAAACGAAGAGAAAATCGAAGCAGAACCGATATTATCAGATACAACCTTGCCAGTCAAAGATCTTCTTGTAGAAGAAATGAACAAATTAGATGTCTCTTCTATCCCTGAAGATGTTGATGTGGAACTCGTTGATCAGTCTATAACGGAAAAGATAACTGTAGTCGAAAAACTTGCGGATGAAGAAAAAAATATAATCGAAATAGCTGAAGTCAATAGTTGTTCAGTCTCTTTACCGATATCAGAAACAAAAGAATTCTTAGATGAACTAATACCTGAACAACCACATCTGTTACCACCACCACCGCCACCGCCATCATCATTAACATCAACTACCATTACCGAAGTCGCTTCCAACGAGCAATTAAGTGAAGTACAAGCAAATGAATCTTTAAAGGACCTAACAAATGCCAATGAACTCTTCTTGAGTTCACAAAAAGACACAATAGTAACGACAAACGTTCCCACGGAAAGACAGAGTCCGTCCCATACTACTATTACGAGAATTACCACACCACCACCATCACCACCATCTTCCTCACCTACTCCTCCTCCTCCTCCTTCTTCCTCCTCCATTTCTACCAAAGAGGAAGATACTTCTTGTCGACTTCAAAGTGAATCTTCTGAGTTCCCATTACCACCACCAAATGAACTTACAACAAAATCTCCTCCTTCCTCGCCTCGATGTAACGTTAGTCAAACGTCCAGTAACATAACAGAAATCGTCCAATCGTCAATCACAAGTCCAAGTCCAAGTCCAAGTAATCGATCCAGTACAAGTATCGTGTCTAGCACTACAACAGCCACAAACGATTGCTCGCAAACATTGTTGCACGACGACCAGACCGATCGAGATTTGAAGACGGAGTCGGTGTCTCAGAGCCTCAATTCGTACAATGATTCAGAAGTTGAGTTGAAGGAGAGGTTAGCCCAATCCCTGGCGGAGACGGAAAACCAGAAGGAAACCTTATCGTGTCGATCGTTGAACGACGATGTCTCAACTGCCTTCCAGGAGAACCACCAGGTGACTAACATGCGACACAACCTCCTGGCATGAATTCGGGCCAGCCAAATTACATTTTGGCAGTGCTCGCTCGTTACCAAGTATATCTCTCGTCGTTACGGTTCGCACCACCACAATCTCTTCTTGTCTCTTGTCGTATAGATATTCGATAAATATGTATATAAATATATATATTATTATATATATATATGCACATATATATCGATGACCATCATTACAGTTATTCCTTCAAATTTCTCCTTATCTTAATAAGTATAACTGTTATATCCAAAAATCTTTCTTACTCATTCCAAACCTTTTTCTACATATATATATATATATATATATATATATATATATATATATATATATATATCTTTGTCTGTCTCCCCGCTCTTTCTCTCTTTCTCTCTTGTGGTCGAAATTGATATATCCCGCTGTGTTATAAAATCTTCCTTGACGATATATCTCTCATATCCAATATCTCAATCACATTTTCTCGACGAAGAGGACAAAATTATGATACCTGACGACTGCATCTCCAAAAAAAAGAGGGTTTTTCTTTGCACGTTTACGTATTTCGTCATCTCCAGAAAATTCTTACTTTCTTCATACTTACTCACTCACTCACTCACTTACTTAATTACTTACTCTGGTAATCTTTTGTTTCTAATAAAAAAGGTTTATCCATTTTGCTTTGGCCATAAATCCTTTCTTCTTGCGATGGATCGATCATATCCCAAAAACAATCCCTCTTATCCTTAAGTGTCTATGTCGAGGGTCTCGTCAAATGTTTATCCTTTATCCTACCAAAAACACAATCAATAAAATGAGAAATTACTTCTTTTATTCCCTTTGATAATCCCTGATTATCCACCCTGTTTTATATGGTCAAATCTCCAACAATAGCATCCTTCCCCCCTACACCATATTACCAAATTATTACCTAAAAAGAAACCCTTGCGTTGTTTGCCTCTTGGTTTTCTTGACACGGTATATTATTATTAACCTGGCTTTACATTTAAAATTCAAAATACGCTAAAAATAGTAGAGCCAATATTGTAGAGCTCGGTATTATTATCATGTGTATGTAAATACATTATATATATATATATATATATATATATATATATATATATATAAATAGATCTATAGATAGACATATATATATATATAGAAATCTTAAGCATAACAGCAAATCAGTTTCTTGTTAGAAACTTCATCATTTTTGCTAAATTTGTTATTATCACTAATATGTTATGACATATAGTTCGCTCGAATATTAGATAAGTTTTTTAAAATAGAGTGGAACTCATTGATAGACGTGATCTTATTTTATTCATTAATTCATTTAGATCAGTAGAAAACTGGCGCTTCGAAGGAGCGGCCTTCGTTAATGATAAAATGTATTTTTTTATTTTTATTTTTTTATTCTTTTTTTTTTTTTATTTTGTCTATTCTTTCTATCTCCCTTTTTTTGTTTATTTTTTTTTTTGTTCTTTTTTATTTATCATTTTTATTCGATAGATACGATCGTACATCCATCGGATTATATTATTCTTTTCGCGTAATTGCATCCATTGCGTTTCATTAGAAGCATCTTGTATATGCCGCATGCAGAGTTATTTTTTTCTCTCTCTCTCTCTCTCTCTCTCTTTTTTCTTATTATTATTCTCGGGATTTCTCAAACGAGGTTCACACATGTTCTTTGAGCTGCTCGAAGCATGGTGAACGATTCTGTCCTGTCATTTATATCTGCTTTATCAATTTCTTTGCGTTGAAACATTCAACAGGGAAAAGAAAATATCTAATCAAAATTATAGGATATTTATTATTGTTAATTTTACATTTATTTTTTCTTACTTCTTTTATCTTTTGTTTTCCTTTTTTCTTTTTTTTTTCTTTTTTCTTATTTTTTTTTCTTCTTTTTTTTTTTTATTTTTTTAATTCGAAATGGTTCGACAGAATCGATTCACGTTCTTACGTTGATCGTATTAAAATAAATAAAATAAAAAAAAAAAATAAATAAATAAAAAGCATGTTTGGTTTTTTGGGTCATAGACAGGAAACGCGCCTTTTTTCAAATCAGGAAAAGAATATTTTAATTGTGTCTGTCGGACATGATGTTTTACAGAGCACTCCGGAAATCGAGAACCCAGTAGTGGAAAAGACCACCGTGACTAATGAAGTTGGTACGACAGAAAGTAACGTTGAGGAAGCTCCAAAGGTGGCACCACCAGCCATCCCGATTGAAGTTCCAGCTTCGCCGCCATCTGCACCGGCCATTACCGAAGATGTTGCTTCGGTCACTAAGGTAAAACAATGATTTAGGGGGAACCATATGTTATGCTCTGTCGTCGTATTTCGACAGAAAGATAGAGTCTACTTGCTGTCTACATCGATGATAATCATGAGAGTATGATTATGGGAATAGGATGACTCATTACTTAAGTGGGTGTCACCATAGATATATAGATGGACTATCCACTGTCTGCTGACTCTAAAGAAGAAAATTCCTCCACTTCTGGATATGATTCTTCAGAACCTGTTTGTTTCTCATGTCCTGTTGAGTAAACACGATACTTGACTCTTCTTTATGATTTCGTAATCATAATTAAAAATGATGATCGCCTAATAATCCCGAATACTTGCATCTTAAAAATCTTATGACGATTATTGAGCGAGGGGCCATCTGATTATTATTAAGCTAATACATTGTTGCTTTCTTGTTCTTTTTTTTTTTTTCTTTTATATTTATTATTATTTTTTTTATTATTATTACTGTTATTATTATTATTATTATTATTATTATTATTATTATTATTATTATTATTATTAATACAAATTCATTGGTTCTATTACACATTGTAGGCCATCGAGGAAATCGACATTAGTGACAAAGCAGTTGCAGCAGCGGTTAACGAAGCCATTGAATGCAACACGAACGTAAGCTTTATCAACATGAATATGTAATAGTAATTGTCGAATGAATACTAATCGAATTTCTTTTTTTTTTCTTCTTTTTTCTTTCATTTCAGGAAATAATTGCCGACGCGCATCACCAAAACAACATGAACGAATAAACGCCATTAACCGAATTCTATCTTGGGAAGAAGAAAATTCTTTTCTCTCGTTAAAACCAAAAAAATATATTATATAGATATGTATATTTGGACCATTCCTGCAAACTAAACCAGAAAATAACGTTCTTTCGTTACGAGCAACAACACAAAAAAAAAAAGATAAAGCAAGAAATAAATAAATAAATAAACAAGATAAAGAAAATAAAAAAAGGGAAAGATGAAAGAAAGAAGGGAAGAAAGAAAGAAAGGAAGGAAGGACAGATAGGCAGAAAGAAAGAAAGGGAATGGCGATGTTACCGCGATATCGCGAAAATAAGAAGGAGAAGAAGAAAAGAGATGAGCATTATAGACTTTAAATAGTAGGCCTATTAATTATTATGATGAAAACAAAAGCCGGCAGGGTGATGAATAAAAAAAAAAAGAAAAAAAAAATATAAGATACAAAAGGAAGAATTCATCGCAAAAGAAGGGACTAAAATGATTGCATTATTTAAAGGAAGAAAGCGAGGGTCGCTAAAAAGGGTATATAATAAGGGAAAGAGTAAGTGAACGAAAACGATGATTTTGAAAAATAAATTAAAAGAAAACAAAAAAAAGAACACAACAACCACTACCACCACCACCACCACCACCACCCACCACCCCAAAAACCCATGTATACGCGTTTGTGCGCAGATTATGAGATTCTTCTTAAAAATAAGAGATTCAAAATAAAAATAAGAGGAAGACGAAATAGTAGTAACTACAAGAACAACAACAACAAGGAAAATATTAATAATTAAAATTAAAATCGCATCTATCTCGTTCAGCGCGTATCTCAGTCGCTCGTAACCGAAGGATCATTGAATTCATTTTTACCACGGGCCGAGCCCAGCCGCAGGTGGTTAATAATGATTGGCCTTCCTGTGTAGGAATTTAAACAAAAATAGTAACAACAACAACAACAATAAAAGAAATGGTTATTATCATTAAAGAATTACCGAGAAATAACAAAAAATAAAAAAAGAATAATGCGCATGTGAGCGAACGAAAATCAATCTTTCAAAGATCACCGTCATCTGTCATCGTCATCTATCAAGGTCTTCATTATCATCATATTCATATTCATCATCATAATCATCGTCGTCGTCGTCGCCGTCGTCGTCGTCGTCGTCGTCGTCGTTATCATTGTCATTGTCATTATTATCATTATCATTATCATTATCATTATCATTTACCATTATCGTCACTGTCGTCGTTATCGATAGACAAATATCTTTATCGTTTAGCGTATTTGTATCCGGTTGGTAATACTCAAAAATGGCTGGTGCCCTCCCGTGTAAACATTAACATTAACATTATTATATTTCTATGAGAGAAAACGAGTATGAGATCATGAATGGAAGGATGAATAGACGAGAAAAAGTAAGGAGACTGATAGAAAAAGAGAAAGACGAGAGGAGAGAGGCCCTAGGGGGTGTGCGTGTAAGATTAGAAAAAAAAAAAGGGTCGAAAGTAAGAATTGTTTAGTAGTGTGTGCGTGTGTCGCGGAACGAAAGAATGCGCGAAAGAGATCGATGCTCTAATAATTAAAAAAAAAAAAAAATAAAAAATAAAAAAAAATAAAAAAAGAAAGGAAGAATTACAAATACAAGGAAGAAACGTGGAAAAAAAAATATAATAATAATAATAATAATAATAATAATAATAATAATGGTGTACGATTTTACTTTCATTATTAATTATACGACGACGAAGGAAAACAAAAAGACCGCTACAGGCTCTAATAAAACACTTGGCAAAAGAAATGAATAATAATAATAATAATAATAATATTAATAATAACAATAATAATAATAATAATAATAATAATAACTAAGAAGAGAAAAGATAGCAATGAGACAGAAAGAAAGGAGAAAAATGGTTTGGATGAGCCAAAAGTTGTCGAAGCGCAAATACGCAAAAACAAACCGCACGAGTGATTTAAACGAAAATAAAAATATATGAAAAGAAAAAAGGGGGGAAAAAAAGGAGGAAAAAAGAAAAAAGAAAAAAGCTCGTATCGCGAGAGAAAATAATTTCTCTTAAGAGGGAGGACAGTCGATGATATACATATATATATAAAAAGATCTTTTTTTATTTTATTATTATTTTATTTTATTTTGCTCGTGTTTCCTTTCACGGACCTCTTGATTTTTCTTTTCTTTTTTTTCTTTTCTTTTCTTTTCTTTTCTTTTTAAATTTCGGTCTTTGGTTTTTCCTTTAAATATATTTGTACGATCAAGAATTGTTTTTTTTTGTTTGTTTTTTTTTTTTTGTTTTTTGTTTTTTTCTTCTTTTTTATGTTATATAACGAGGAACTATACACTTCTATTATATACATTTTTATGATGTTTGGATAAGCGCAGAATGAAAAACACACGACTACTCTTGTATTTTACGCATATATAAATGGAAGAAAAAAAAACAATGAAATATACAAAACTAAACACATTTATCAAGAGAACATTTTTACACGCACATAAGTACGATGATACTTTCGTACTTTACCATCCATCACCCTACAACCATTCACCATTCACCGCCGCCACCGCCACCGCCACCACAGCCACTACCGCCACCGCCACCGCCACCGCCACCGCCACTACCACCACCACTACCACTACCACTACCACTATCACTACCACTACCACTACCACTACCACATCACTACCACTACCATCACCACCACCATCATCATCACCATACCACTACGAATACACAAACTTTTAAGTAAGAAAAAAAAAACAAGAAACGTTATACAATAAAGTCGAAACACAGTGTAAGTGATATTTAATCTAGACGTATAGGAAAAAATACGTTCGTGTAATAAATACAAAAAAAAAAAAAAAACGAAAAAAAAAAGAAGAAAACGGAAGGGAAAAAAAAATTCGGTGTTTGTTCGATAAATGATATTTCTCTTTTTAAATGAGAAAAAGAATTTACGACATGAAGCCTATCTCTCGTAATTTTTATGATAATCATTAAAAGTATCGTCATCGCCTAATTACAATAAACAAGACACAAGCGTGCACAATTTTACCGCCCCGAGATATATTAGGATGGGAAAAAAAAACAAAAGAAGAAATAAAAAAGAAATGTGAAAAGGACAAGAAAAAAGAAAAGAAAAGAAAAGAATAAGAAGGAACGGTACCTTTTTCAAGTTTTTCATACAATATTTCTACGTTTATACGGATCTCCCAGAAGTAAAAGAAAAGAAAAGAAAGAAAGAAAAAAAAAAAAGAGTAATTTACATGCGAAAGCTTTTTTTATTAAGACAGTAGCGTGTAGACCATTTAAAGCTAATCGAACAAAAATAAAAGAAAAGATAAAAAGAAAGAAAAAGTGCATATACCATGTATATTATGCCTCTCGATCAGAATATTTCCAAGTGTTAGAAAAGTTGGTATTGATTTTTGAACAGTATAATTAATGAATAAGAAATAAAGAACGAGAGAAGTTTAGGGGAGGGGGGAAGGGGAAGGGGGGGGGGTTGTAGGGAGAGAAAGACTAGGGGTAGTAGATGGAAGAAGCAAGAATAATATTAGAGATTGAAGAAGAGGTGGAATAGGAGCAGAAAAAGGAGGAAAACGAGGAGGAGAAGGAGAAAGAGTAGGAGAAGGAGGTGGCAAGAAGTTAAAATTAAAAGTTGTATAGTAAACCTTATTCGTATGGAATTTCATCAAAATAGTATTGTCCATAATGATATTTACAACGAAATTGAGCCGGTTTTCTCAACGGAACAAATTTCGGCAACGAGAGAGAGTATTAGCATTTTCATTTGAAATTCTTTAAACGTGACTAATAATCTGTGTCTCAGCGTAACAACAAAATGGATTGTTAAAATAGATTTGGGGCGTCTTCCGGCACATCGAGTCGACTCGTTAATGTAAGAGAGGAGAAAGATCTTTGCGTTTTTGAATACTATTAAAATAAAATTATATTAATATAACACTTTTTACACCGGAGACGCTTCAAAAACCACAAAACCTACAGTCTTCAGTATCTTCGATCAACAGTTATGATAGTAACTAAACTATTCTACATTTATCTATAATCTAATAAACTGTGAAACAAGTGTACGATTATGTATATTTAATCATAAATCCCTTTGAACGTCCTTTTTTTTATTTTTATTTTTTTTTTCTTTCTTTTGCGCTTTCTTTTTCTTTTTCCTTACATTTGTGAACCACATAAAAACCTTCAAAAGAATTCTCTAAAATATATATGTATATATATATATTTTTTTTTTCAAACGTAATAATTTTATTGTACAAAACGCGAGAGAATACATTATTGTATTATTGTTTCTATTGTAGTTATCAACGTATCTAATTCGTCCTTGTTCATTTCAACGTCAATGATACGTCGTGTTCCCTTTTCTTCAACAATAAAATCTAATTGAAGTAGAGGTTCTCGTAGCGATGCCATTTTACTCGTACCCATGACTAGCTGTAATTTATAACATTTCAATATACAATCTCTTTAATAATTAATTATATAAGAGATATAATAAAAGATTTTATTACTTTTAATCTCCAATCAAAGTCAACTAAAGTTTGTAATTTTTGTTTGGAGTGTTCCATTAATAAGGCATGCGTTAATTGTTCTTGTCTAACTTTTAGACAATTCAAAATATCTTTTTGAATTGATTCGGGAAGATCGTGATACTCTGGAGGCATCTAAAAAAAATGAATTAACTTCAATAAAATGAAGAAAAAAAGGCAAATAAAAACTTAAAATAATTATTTAACGTAAAACAAATGCCACAAGGGTATAATGATAATTCGATCTATAATAATTGCCAGTGATGATTTTATACCTTTTCTTCCATCAAATATAAACATGCTGGATTACGTAAAAGCATTATCATTAATTTATAAATATCTTCATATGCTTCTTTACTCCAATTCATACGATTCATGAACTTGTGATAAGACGGTCCTGGATGTCCACAAATTTCATCTATGCACGCATGTAATAACTGCAAGCAAAATATTTATATGAGAAATCAGTTCTACACATATTACATTTAATAAAATATATATTAAATTAATAAAAACTACTAACTTCTTTCAACACATCACCCTTATCTTCATCGATTAAGTTGGAATATAAAGACTGAATCATGTCCATCCTTAATCAATACTTTAGCATTTTGTAATATATTTGTGTCGTTTCATCTAAATCAATAAAAAAAAAAAAAAAAAAGAAAAAAAAACAATAAGACAAGTATAATAATATACAATAATATTAAAAATACATTTGTTTTACAATATAATATAAATTATCAATGGATAATAATTAATATTACCTTATGTTACAGATGAATCGTATTATGTGATAAATGATATTTTTTATAAATGCGTTTAAATAAATGAATACAATCACTTTGTTTTAACATTTGTTTATCACATTTAACAGATTGTCAATTGTAATTAATTCCGTTCGAAGGTTATACATTCAGATATCGCAGGGAAGTCATTGAAACAAAAAATAATTTTATTAATGCCAGTTTGTAGCAGGCGCACCAACATATCTACCTGCGTGCCCACTGGCGGTAAAACTTTTATATTATATTGAACTATCTGAATTATCCAAGGAATAATTGTTAAATAAAATAAATTTCTTTTTCAAAATTGTATTTCAAATATCACGAGATATTACGAATATTGATTAACATAAACGATCGTACATTCTTTTTACGTAACAATTATAAAATATAATAAGAAAAACTTACGAAGTATAGGTTAAAAAGTAAAAAAGGAAAAAAAAAAAGAAAAAAAAAGGACAAGAAAACTACATCGTTAATATAACGTATATATATATATTTTTTTTTTTTACTTATGATAGTAATACACGTTAATTAATTTTCAAATTAATTACTGAAAAAATAAGAAAAAAGGAAATGAAATTTTTAACAAGCATAGATGGCGCAGGTATCTCATTCATCCTCCTTTTCTTATGATAGAAAGAGAACTCGATATGTTTCCCTTTTATTCGTTGTCTCCACTACATTGTCCGTTTAGTAAATCCATGCACTACTGTGTATAGTCATGCGACGTGAAAATGTTTATCATAGAATAAACAACGTTTTATGGCTATTTATCCGAGTTCCTCGAATTTATCACGAATTTTCTTTTACGGTAAGTTTTCAATGTAATATATCTCACATGGCTTTCTCCGGAAGAATTTTTTTATTCATTTAATTACACTTATAATACTTTGATGGATCATCGAAATAATATTTCTACTTTATGGCTTCGAATCGATTTATTTGTATATATATCGTTTCTCCAATTATACAGAAATTTATTGTAATAGTATATAATGAACTTTTGTCACTCGTTATATTCAATATTTATATATTTTATTATGCAAGTATTTTTTGCACATTAAATAGCGTTAAGATTATATAATTCTTCTATTATATTTGTCGTTTGACCTCCTTTTTTATTATATCACTATCAAGTTTGTTGAAATATATAGTCAAAATGTAGGTCAACTGTTGTTTTTTTTCTTTTTTTTTTTTTTTTTTTTTTTTACTCTGTTTCATTTCAAACATTTATTAATTACAACGTGAATTGAATACGAATTCAACATTCATTTTGTCATAAGCATATGTATGTTTATGACGAAAACAAATTTTTAAAATTTATTTTGACTATTTTATTATTTCAATTTTTTTTGCTATTCATAAATTTTGATTCAATTAATATTTTTTGTTGAACAAAAACATTGAAAATGTATTTAATTAAGAATATTTTCAATCCAATTATTATCTTTTATCATTTATCGATATTTCTAAACAATTTTTTTTAAAGAAATACTTACGAACCTTTATCAGGAGTTTTCATTAGTTCGATCTTTTTCTTTCGTATTAGTGCCAACGAAGAAATTGAAACCGTCGTACGTGACTTAGATCATGTAGTTTTTTCGAAAACGTTTTTCGTAATGTATTTCATAAAATCAATATCATAGTATGTGAGTATATCGATAATGAAATTGTTATGTGTACGATATTCGTAATATAAACATTTTTATAAATATATGAATATATATTTTTTATAAATATTACTATATTTTGATTAAATTATTTATATATTCTTATATTTATTTGTGTATGTGTATTTAAATATATATATATATATATATACATATATATATTATGTTGCATTTTTTTTTTCAGATAATAAAGAACCATCCAGTTATTTAATAAAAACGTGAAAGAGCATCAAACATTTATTAATAAAATATTTCAAGAAAACTTAGAAAGACAGTTGATCATAGTATAGTTCATTTGGTTTCATTTGTCATTATAATGGTTAAGTATTTTGAAGACAATACAACCTTTTACTTTAATTGGAAACAAGTTGTACAAGGATTTTGGGTCAAATATCCTAATCCCCATAGGTATTAAATATATTAAAAATAATTTTTGTTTTAACATGTAGCTATTTATTTATGGACTTTGTAGACAATATCACTTTTTTTTTATTATGTTAACAGCTCGCATGTCTTGTCGGAAGATACTATATCTAGAGAAGTTAAGGATGGCAAGCTTTATTCTAAACGTCTCTTGACAAAAACAAACGGAGTACCAAAATGGGGTGAAATGTTAATTAAAAAGAAATCTGTTAAAATTGTAGAGGAAAGCATATTGGATCCTGAGGCAAGGACATTGACCACGTATTCAAGAAACTTCACCTATAACAAAGCAATGGTAGTAATTGCAAACAGGATACACTATATTACAGAGAAATCTTCGTCGCTCTTCAAATATCATATAACATAATCTTAACGTATTACTACTTAGAGCGTTATCGAGAAAGTTGTTTATCGAGTTTCCGATGAAAATCCTTCATGGACTACAGTACACAGATCAGCATGGATATGGAGTTGTGTGCTTGGATTTAGTAAAGCAATTGAAGCATTTGGCCAAGATAGATTAAGAAAGAACTATATTAAAATGTCATTAGGTTTCAATCATGTTCTTGGACGTATGTTTCCACAAACAGCACAATTAGCAACTTCTCATAGCAGTTGTCAGGTAAACGTATCAAATAGGAACACTGTCTGTAAATTTTCATACTTTTTAATTTTTAATATCAATTTATAGCCCGACGATTTAACAGCTAGTAAATCAATTCTGGCAGAAGGTTTACAACATTCTTTAAAAGACAAAGCAGAACAAGTAAAAGATGCTGCTAAAAAGGCCACAGATTTAGCGAAGCAAAAGACTGGTCAATTTATGTAATATATTGAGAAGAATCAGATTAATTAAATGTTACTAAACCATTAACTAATCAAATACTATGCCAAGTGGAGAAATTAAATGAAACTCAAAACAATAGTAAAGAAAAAAGAATAAGATCATTTAAACTTTGTTCTAATCCAATTAAAAAATTTAAGATATATTGAATCTAACATTTAATATTACGATTTCGCATATATATTTTTTCTTTAATATATAATATTTCTCTTTCGATATTATACATAAAAAAAAATTGATTAATTGTATATAATGGATACTTTTGTTTTATAAAACATAGTTAATTGTATTTCAAAAAACTACCATTCCTCTAACTGCCAGAGTCCAGAATCTACATACAGAATAGGAATATCCTGTTGTTACTCAATATTGAATCATTTAAAATTTACTACATATGTAATTTTAGTATAAAAAACACTCTTTTTAGGTACGATCAACGTACGTACATGACTTATACATTACCACTTGTCTAAAATAGAATGTGCGAGTTTAAGCATTATAAAAAATAAGTCATGTTTATCTTGGTGATCCTACTGAATTATATAAAATTATCAAGACTTTTATGGGTGCGAAGTAAAACTCGGTTTGATTTGTTGTTCATCTGACAAAAATCTAAATCTAAAAATAGCATAAAATATTAATCGAAATATTTTCTAGGATTATTTAAACGAAATTATTTTATTTAATGGCACTCTATGACTTAATAATATAATACATACATATACGCATATATTTATGTGAAATGCATTTTTATGTTCACTAATATATTTTATAATGTCGACTATAATTCTTTTCCTTTATGGAATTACAATTTTTCCTCAATTCTGAAAATAAGAAATACAATCATACTGTTGAAATATGAAGTTATAAAAACTGTATATATAAAAGATTTATATAAGTTGTGACTTGATACATTGTAAGCAGAATGCCGATAGAAAATAGATACTTGTATAAAATTAGTTATCAAAATATTACATAATAGAATTTGCGTCCTTATTGCTTTAAAGGGCATATATAATATATAATATATATATATTATATATATTATATATATTATATAATATATTATATATATTATATATATTATATAATATATATATATATTATATATATATATTATATATATTATATAATATATATATTATATATTATATATGTATATATATATATCACAACTGTATTATATTACAAGAATATATTTACTGTTTGTAGGCTTAGTAATGTATCATATAAAATATTATAACATATAGGTAGTTATTAAAATATATGTTAAATACATGCAAGTTTTTTATTATTTTTGTTACTCTCATACCAAAAGATAGAAGGATAGTAAATCACGTTAATTTACATTATTTCCTCAATAGTAAAATTCCAAAAATCCATGATACATAATGTGTTGTAATAAAAAATATAATTATTATTTCATTTAAATCAGAAAATATAACAAGTACATCCATATGTGTATATATACATATATAGTATATAGTTTTATAATGGAACATAATAAGAAAAAGAAATAAAAAAGAAATTGTTTCAATTTAATTTCAAATTATATACATATACATATATGCATGCATATATAGATAAACGAATATCAATCAAGTTCTTTGAGGTTATTAATCAACAATTTCTGATTAGAAAACAATATATTTAAAGAATTTTCTTAGAAGAAAGGTAGTAAATCTATCGAATTAATATTAGGAAAATGAAATATTCATTGATTCATTAAAAGGAAAATCAATGAATAATATTAACATGATTCATTGTCATTACGCTTATCAAAGACAGATATTTGTGAAATGAATATCGTATTGGAAATAACGACGAATGTTTTTTTATCAATCTTTCTTTTCTCTCTTTTTCTTTTTTTTTTTTTTTTTTTTTTTTTTGACTAATTTATTTCTTTTTTCATTTTTATCATTCCGCAAGCACTGAACCTGATTTTCTGGTTGACCTTGTCCTCACCAAATATGAATTCCCGATTAATGAAATAACATCCTTGAATCATTATATAGCGACTTATATCGTTTCCTGACGAAGAAGAAATCAGTTTGATAAATGATGAATTTTCCCATGATATCAATTATAAAAAATGTGGTTTATTCTTTCCTTTCATTTTTTTACAATCTATTCTCAAATTCCAAGTGGAGTAGTGGGGAGAGAATGAATAATACATTTTATTTAATAAAAAAAAACAAAGAAAAGAAAAAAGATATTATATACATGGCATTGTTGTTGTTATTATTGTATGCGTTGACGCACAAAAAGAAATTCATCTCGCGAAATATGTGAAAGAGGGAAAATCCAACTCTTATTTATTAAAATGTGTGTTAGTATGAGAATTTCTTGGATAGGCATAATTATTTCCGAGTTGTCGTCGATCAGTCAGATCACAGTATAAAAGTGAAGACTTCAGATCGACTTCTTAACAGTCGATCGTCGACATTACTTGAGAAACATACGATCGTATAACCAAATTTTCGTATAAATTTATAATATATTTAAATTAACAGAATGTATCGTGTCATTATTTCTACAATTTTGAGTGAGTCAATAAAAAAAAAAAAAAAAAAATAATATCTTTTATATTAAAAATATATAATAAAATATAAAAAATTTGAATAATCCGAATTTATCTCTGTCGAGTTTTAAATCAATCGATTTTATTGATATGCTATATTTTTTTTATTCGTCTTTTTCTCTATTTATCTTATATTTAATAATATAGAGTATTAATACAAAATTTTTTTGCTTTCTTTTTTTTTTTTTTTTTATCACAGTTGCATTCGCAATAATATCAAACACCATAGCCTTTCCTCAGGTAAGTTTACGAGTTTTATTTTAAATATTAGTCTATATAATATTTGTCTTTCGATTATTTCGACGAATCAGAGAGCACGAATGTTTCTTTCGCTGTATATATATATATATATATATATATGTGTGTGTATATATACATATATACATATAACGTGTGAAATTTTAAGACGAGCAATCTGATTGGTCAAAGAAAAGTTTTTTGAAAGTTCATACTTGTATATATGCGTATATATGTATATGTATAATATTTTATAATATCATTTATTCTTTACCTTTATTATATACATTTTATTTTAGAATGACTTGAATCTCGACGATGTTTCTCGAGTAGATGGTTTTGTTTTCGATGGTCCTGCCGACAGACCATTGCCCTCGACTCAACGTTCAATGATTGATAACATGGCAGATCGTGTACCAACAACGCGAGCGACACCTGCACCTATTACTCCAGGATCCGAAGCTTATGAAAATTGCATTGCTAGATGTTTGGTAAATAAATTTAATTTAAATAATCTAATCTTTTTACCTTTTAGTTTTTTATAAATATATATATATATATATATATATATATATATGTGTGTGTGTGTGTGTGTGTGTTAAAAAACAGATTTTTCTTGTTTACTGATATGTTAATATGTATATATTAATATGCTAATGTATATGTTAATATGTAGTTTTTTATTTAGCATGCTCGGTAAAACCAAACTACGTAACATGATTAATCACTATTGATCTTTGCTAATGTATTAGAATATATGATTAGTAATAAGGATATATGTTTACTTACGTGCGTCATCAATATACCTAATTATATATTTATATATATATACATACATATATACATACATAATATATATTATGTGTATATGTATGTACATAATTCGTATTAAATACAGACATACACATATATACATATATGTATATACGTTTATGTTTCTTATATCGTTAATGTTTCTCTAATTAAAAACAAAAATAATAAAAAAGAAATACTATTTACTATTTACTATTTACTATTTAGAAATATTATTAAAGAAATATATATATATTTTTTTTTTGGTGCAGGTTACTCCAGAATATAATCCTGTATGTGGAACAGACAACATTAGTTATGATAATCCAGGAAAATTAAACTGTGCAGTTAACTGTGGCAAAAGTAAATTCATACAACATCAGAGATTAAAGTTAATTAAAAAATAAAAAATATTATTTGATATAATATTAATTTTATTTTTTATGTTATTACAGAGATAACCCTGAATGCTTATGGACGTTGTAGTGCCGACGGGATCAGAGGTTAATGGGCTATTTCTGGAGATTGATAACACTGATTTATTACAAGATTGAAATGATCTATTGCGGAAGACTGTTTAGCAATATATATTTTATAATATTTTCTACTCTTTTCTTTTTATTAACACATCTTTAATAGGTTAATAATTATAAAAAAATTTAGCTGAATGTTTTCTCATATTTTTACTATACAAGATCATTTATAATAAGACTTCATCTTCGTCATATCGTAACTTAATTGTTATATTATATATGTATTGTATACTATCTTTATATCATTTTATAGAAATAAATTGCAAAATAACAAAGTACAAACTCTCGGTTGAATATCTTACAATATTTATTATTATTATTATTATTATTATTATTATTATTATTATTATTATTATTATTATTATTATTATTATTATTATTAATATTATTATTATTATTGTCAGTAAGGTTAATGTAAAAAAACGAAAAATAGATAAAGAAATAATAAAAGAAAAGGTGCAGCAGTGATTTAAGATATTAGCCCATTATAATAAATCAATCGATCGAAGAATTGTTTCTATCAGCCCATCTGACCCTTCGAGCAATTTCAAAGTTTCCTCCATGAATACCATAAAGATGTCTAGCCAATATATCAGCCCTGTCTTCTTCCGCTCTTATAGCCATTCTTCTATATCTTCCAATTGCCAAGAGGCAAGAGGCTATCAAAACTATTTGAATGATCAACCAAAAGATGAGTAAACCTAAAACTAAACCGGCGTCTACGCAGAGTAGTCCATCAATGGAGTCTACAAAAAAAAAAAATTTAAGCAATAAAAGGAATAATTAAAAAATGGATTAGAAAAAAAGATATAAATCGTTGTTAAACGACGATTAAACTTACGTCCACCAGCAATTAGAATCGTATCGGGAGTAGTATTATCCCTGGACAGTAGAGGATCCGCAAAAATCACAGGACTCTGAACTATGATAGACAGTTGTAATGGTAGTTCATCTGGTGTTTTGTTCCTGAAAATTTCAGTTACCTCAGCAGCAATATAAGGCTCCGATGTTGACGCAACGACTGTCGACGTTCGTTTCCTTCTTCCATAAGAGACACGATTTCCTTCACAATGTGTCTTAAAAATGAAAGAAATAAAAATTATATATTCTTTTATTTAATACAATAATGATAAACGTCAACTTACCGGCTCGCATTTATCTAAACAAAATTTAACAATAACGTTGAACCTGACCAATTGACTTTCAGGAAATTTGAACGCAGTAAAAGTTGCAATGAGTGAACGATTATCAATTGGATCTTTGGATAACGCTGGAAAGGTTGTTGGATCCGTAGGGCATCCAATTTCGTTAAGTAGAAGATAAGACCAATGTCCTGTTGCACTACTAGCTACTAGATGTCCAGCCATGATATCATATGGACCTAAAATACTTGAAATTCTATTTAATTCCGTGCTTTAATTTTATTTCTATCATTTATCAAATTCGATCATACTTAATTGCTCTTTTGAAGAAAGAGACTGGGGGAAAAAAAATATCCGATACAAATGACTGATCAAATTTACGAAGATAAGATACTTAACCAACGACATACCATCAGCTGGTTTAATTTCAATTCTGAGAGTCAGCCTTTCTCCCAACTTCGTGACGACTGCATCCTGATGATTCTCGTTTAAAATTCTCATAGTTATCATTGGTACTTCCGATGATGCGTTCATTACGATTGTTGAAATTGGCGGTACTCCTGCGCTAAAGACGTTATTACGGATATGGAAAAAGTTAAATAGATAATATATTTTATAAGTCTCAAAACAGTGCTCACTTGGGATCAGCAAAATTTAAACTTGATTCCACTGATACATTTCTAGGCTGTGGAATATCATGTTCACCTATAGTACATCCAACTTTAACAGCTTGATCACCCAGTCTTTGAATAATAGGATTGAACTGTACGACTATGGTAGCCCATATCATCGTTCTTGTTCTATAAATTATTAAATATATCAATGGAATAATTGATGAAATGATTTTTAGACAACTCACCGATTTTCATTATCGATTGAAAATGCTGGCGTAAAGCCACATGGAATTTTAGACATATCCAATTCCTCGGTTTTTGGTAAAGGCAGTGTTAGTATTGTTACATTTCGACCAGTGCCTTGAATACCACAATCATTTCCATAACCATTGGCGTAGAGTCTACCTTCGAAGGGTTCCATCGTAATCAAAGTGACTGTTAACGTCGTGTCACTGCATCGTACCTTAACTGAATGACAATACCTTTTAATCTTGCAATTGAAACAAACGCTAAAGTATTTATTTAAAAGAAACTCACCGTCTAAACAAGGTTCTCTTTCTTTATAAATACTGTTAGGTGTGTTAACAAGTGAACTGGTACCAAGACTCAATGTATCTTCTGAATGTAATCGACAAATTGGTTTCTTGTTTGAAGTATATACAACTGTGTAACTTCTACAGATGAAACCATCTTCACCGAGATCGCATCTTCTCTCGCACTATTTAATATATTATTTTCGTTATAAACTAGTATTAATATATATAAATTTTAATTAAATATATACCGATACCTCTCGTTTGTCAACACCAGGTAATTCAAGATCTGAATATGGCAGAGTTACATTCGAAAATTCAGCATAGGAACAATAATCCATTTTCACTGAAACATAATATATGATTTAGATCATCGATAGACAATATATTTACGATAATCTTTTTCTCCTTTTGTTAGATGATTAATATAGATGGTATAAATATATTATTATATATTTTTTAATAAAGTTTCTTACAGATTTTACTCACGTATATCATGACACTGATGTTGCAGGTACTCGTCTCTATACATGGAAGCCCTATAAGCCTGTGGCCTGATACTTCTTTCGACCATCGATAAGGCACATCTTCCCAATGTATTATTGATCGATAATGCCTTTGATGTACGAAATTGTGCTGATTTACAGGCACCACCTGAAAATGAAAATTCAAGTAATTTCATATTCCGATGAATTTAATTTTTTAAATGACAATGACAGAGAAGCGAATTTTTTTATTTGTTCTTATTTTTTTTTTTTGCAGACTGACCTGATATCAAGGATATTGATCATGTAAATTTTAGTATACCTGCATCAATACACGTTTCATAGCATCGATTTCTCCGCATAGCTTGTGGCAACCAAACGGACGCAACATCGAGTAAAACAGCGCCCAATGTTCTTTCTACTTGCCAGAGTTTCTTTTTTTTACAAGTTTTAGGTACTGAAATATATATCAAATGAATATTCAACGAATATTTGTGTATAAGAAAAATATTATTAATACCTTTTATACAAATTTCTTGATAAAATATAGAGTTCGACTCTGGAACAAACTCATCACCTTCAACTTCGACAGTATAACAGAGACTTCTATCGATGTCGATCACGAAGGCAGTGCAATTAATTCGTTTACATCTGAATCAGATTACAATTAAATATTAAATTATGTGAAAATTGATGAAAAACTGATATATTATACCTTTCGAAGCAAGGGATGACAATACCATGAGGATCTTCGCCACTAAACAAAGCAACTTTAGAAATAGTATACTCAGGTCTAGCTCCGTTAACTTTCTCCCAAGCAGTGTCTTGACAATTTTGGCATGATCCTAAAAAAAAAAAAGAAAAAAAAAGAAAAAAAAAAGAAAAAAAAAGAAAAAAAAATTAAAAACGAAAAGAAAAGAACAAAGAAATTAAAATTGAAACAAGAGAAAAAAGAACACCCTCCGATTCTTTCAAATATAACAAACATTGCATCGAGAATATTTCAATGACGTAATATAAATGTGTTTGGAAAAATAAGAAAAGAGAAAAAAAGGAAAAAAAAAAAAAAGAAACCGTGATAAAACATAATGCAACAACACCTGTACAAATGATCGATGAGATGATGACGACGACGACAACGAGAAGAAAAAATACCAGCGAACGCGAACGTCCAGGCATCCTTTCAACAAAACTTTTTATCATAAACAATTGGAAAATCTATAAATTAATATTTATCAAACGATCTAACGCGTCCTTCCTTCCTTCTTAGGCACTATAACTTCGTCGTTACATAATTTCTTCTTCGCCGTAGTGTTAGTACGGCTGCTTTATCTATCTTGTAATACTTGTAATTAATTTTCTTCGATACCAAACATTTACACCGTCTTCTTCGATCGGCCGATTTTTTTTCATCCTCATGCCCGTCAATCGAAAATTCTCTTCTTCTTCTTTTACTTCTTTTCTTTTCTTTTTTTTCTTTTTTTTCTTTTTTTTTCTTTTATTTATTTATTATTTTTTTTATTTTTTTTTTTATTTTTTTTTTATTTCTTTTATTTCTTTTTTGTTTTTTTTTAATATATACAAAAATAAAAAGAAAGAAAACACATTCGTCGTCTGGCAACAAACGAATGACAATTCCGTTCTCGCGTTCGTACCACGACTGACTCTACTCACGGGATGTGGGCAAAACTATATATCGAGGTGCATTGTCGTAGAAAAAAAAAGAGGTGTTCCTGCGAAGACGAACAGGACGCGCTCGGTGGTCCACGAATGATCGCGATAGGCTTCTCCCTCTTTACCCCTCCTCTTCCTTCATCACCAGCAATCGCAATTAGTCACCCCTCTTTAATAATACGTATTACGTTTTTTTTTTTATACTGTGTCGTTGTATATATTATATATTATATATATTATATATTATATATATTATATATTATTTATATTATATATTATATATTATATATATTATATATATTATATATTATATATATTATATATAAATGATATTTTATATACATATAATATATTTCTTTAAAATTGCATAACATTTGATCATAATTATAATCTAAATTAATCATTTATTAATTAATAATTTTATTTATTAATTATATTCATTACTTCTTTTTAAAATAAAAGAGACAGAATAATTCTTTGCCATATTCTCGATAAATGAAATTTTAATTTTATCAAAAAAAGATAATTTAAGTATTTTAAAATCAAATGACCTTCATTCGACTAAACATAGATAAATCTATTTTAATATGATATTTTAAAAATATTAGAGAAATATAAATAA